AACTACGAAAATATTTGATTTACAAATAAGGAATCCTACTTCGCGGAATTTCATTTATCACGGTAGGGTCTAGAACCGATTAACCGCGATAAACAAGGGTTCACTGTATATACTTATTAGGAGTGGAAAGTGAGATGAGCTCCAAGGCTGTGCTGGCAAGCTTTATCTGCCAAAGGCCGGACAGTAAATATTTTAGGCTTTGAAGGGATATTCAAACTCGATTTTAACTAGTCAACTTGGCCACTATAGCACAACAGCCCCACAGAAGACAGTAAGTGTAAACAAACAGACATGGCTATAAGCTAATATTCGGGTAATTACCAAGCAACCTTGGGGGGAGGGGTATAGGTGGGGTGGGATGAGTGTGAGAGGCAGGGGCAGGGCTGGATTTGGCCAATAGGTCCACCCAGGTGGAAACCTATCTTCACCCCTCTGCATGTAAGCATTCCTATCTATAAAATGAGGAATGAAAATCACAGGACTTACAGCATGTAAAGCACTAAGCAAAAAAGGGCTCAAAAGATTATCTGCAGTGAGGGGGGAGGGGCAAGGGGGGAGGGAGGGGGAAACCGAGCAAACAATATTGAGGGCTAAAGTAGAGGGCAAATGTTTTGAGACTGATGAAGGCAACAGGTGTACATAGGTGCGTGACTCAATGGATGGATGTATGGACTGTGATAAGAAATGTACGAGCCCTCAATAAAATAATTTTTTTTTTAAAAAGATTATCTGCTTCTAGTAGCTTACCTAGTGATGAACTAGTCATCTATTGATGACAGTTCAGTAACACAGTTTGGGAATAAAGAGGAAAAATCGATTTCAAGAGAGCAAAATGGGCAGAGGGAATGCAATGTGACAACCCTGAATTACCAAGGGACCACTGCCCCCAGCCGCCGAGGGAGTGAAAAGGCCATGAATGGAAAGGTCAGGAGAGAAGTCAGCGAATATGCCCAGGGAGTAGCTGAGGCTCTGAATTAGAGCGAGTCTGCCCTGGAGGGCACCCAGTATGAGGAAAAACTCCAGGCTGAAGTCTGGGAGAAGCCTCGAGAAATCAAAAACAGATTCCCCAGTTCAGCAAAGGAGATTTGTTTCATAACAACAAAAGGCATGCCTGCCCACCAAGGCCCGAGGTGGGAAAGAATGTGACCTTACAAATAGGAGGCCAAGGGGCACAAGGCAGGGCCCTGGTGCTCTCGCCCCGCCACCACCTGCCTGGCATACTCACAGGCTCGTTCGCAGCATTCTGCATGGACACGTTCTTGATGCAGACGCCAAACGCAAAAGGGTGGGAAGGACTGGTGACTCCATCTTCAAAGCGCAAATGGACATCTTGAATTTTTAACTGCACAGGGGAGGGGGAAAAGGGGGGGAAACTTTATGCAGAAAATCACCGCAGGTAAAATACTGTATATAGACTGGGGTCAAACCGCCCCACTACACCACAGCCTGCATTCAGCGTCATTGCATGTGTTTCGTGAGTCTGAAGAGGACTTTATAGATTGGTATCGGACATAGTGGCTAATATCAGATTTATAGCCTTGGACCGGACTGGGTTGAGATGTTTTCTCGATGTTCAATTCTTCTTGTATATATACCTCTTTCTTATACACATATGTGTGTCGATGGATTTGTTTCTCTAGTCTACCCAGACTAACACATTACGGAATCAAAACTCATTGACAGCTTAAAAAAAAAAATCCTGCCGGAAGCAGAACTGAAAGCAGCCACCTCAATGTGCTAATCTTTTTGGCAAAGTTAGGAAACCAAAAACCTCTGATTACCTTATTTGGGAGGGGGAAGCAGTGAGCCCATTTGGCTTGTCAACTCGGTATTGTGTAAAAACCCTAGAGACATTTGCAAAAAGTAGCATCGACCCTGTCTGCTCTTTGAGGGCCAAATAAATCTGGAATTAAAGCAGGAAGTGTGACCAACCGCCCTCGGAGTAAAGCTGTAAGTGGGCTGTTCAGAATTCACTATGGACCCAATCAGAAACCATGTCATCCAACCTTTCTCATTTTACAGAAACAGGTCAGAGAGGGTAAATGACTGGCCTTGAAATTGGACACAGTAAAGCCTCGTAAGAGCTAAAGCGTTCAGCAAATGAGAAGCCAATGTTCAAAAAGGAAGGGAAGCAAAAAAACCTCCGATGCACACCAGCTGACTCAAGCAGAACCTGTGTCTACCAGAGATGAAGACCTGCTTTTCAGGTTCTCCTCCCTCTGGCCCAGCCTATAAAAGGGCACACCTGAGCAGTTGCCCTACAAATCCTGTAGCAGAAGGGCCACAAGAAACAAGCACCGATGGAGTAAAACAAACTGAAGCCAGAGCAATCCCTTTCATGTTTATACTTTATAAAAGTCAGCAGAACTTACTTCAATGTTCTCCACAATTCTGGTAACGACTGAGGCAGTAACTGAGTACCAGTAGGATTCGCCTTTCTGCTGGCGCTCGTTCTAAAGAGGAAAGAACCAGTGTTAGCATCATGCCTGAGAGCCACCACGACTAGGCTCAGCGATGTCTGCTTGCCTTCCATTTTTCCTCCAGGGCCTGAAGTAGTGTTTTCTTGCGTTCCCTTTCCAGCAACTTCTCCTTCTCATCATTGAAATCCTGGATTTTTTCAGGGGCTCCAATTAAGTGAAGGCTGGAGATGGAGATCACCCAAGGGTCCACATGGGGGCGATAGAAAGGAATCTGAAGGGTTACTTTGCCAATTAAGCCTGCGAGGAAAAGGGAAGTTCTGTTAACCACGGTACACGGTTTTTTTCTTTGCATTTTCCTGCGTTTTTCTAGTGGTGGAGATCAGGTATTACTTGCTTTAGTTTAAGAAAATAGGCCGCAGCCCTGCACATGAGAAACCAGCACTAGTAGGTTGAGGCCTGTAAGAACCAGGGGGAAGGGACTGGAGGCTGGGAAGGCTTCATGGAGTCTTCATCACATCGCGTGCTGCCTTTCTGCGCTGGAAACTCTTTCCCAAGAGCACTGCGTCTGAAACTTCTTCGGTGTGTCTTTCCTCCCACCTTCGCCCACGCACAATTCCATAGGCACAAACCTCATTTCTTGATCATTATTAATCGGTTGCTTAAGTCCTCTTTGGCAGTTACTTCCAATGTGCCACCTATAACACTCTTTGACATACTTAGAGAATGTCCAATCTTACACAGACCCACCACAAACTGGAATGGAATTAACATGTTACCCTATTGATAAAGAACATGCATTCTTTGTAGAAAACGTGGGCTAGTGAGAAAGTTCTAGGGCCTGGGAGAATTGTGAAGACTTAATCCCCACATTCTCCCATTCCTAGCCAAACTTCTGAGAACACAAGCCTTCTATAAATTCAATTCCTAAGAGGCACCACTACTCCAAGATCCACACACCTCACCTAATGCCGAACCTCTGAAAGCAGCTGGCTGAAATGAGCAAGCTTATTACCTCTGAGATCCAGAACTCAAGTAGGATTTATCTGTGATATATACAGTGTCTCAATTACTTAATAGATGGCCTTTGATCTGCTATATTTAAGATAAGAGAAAATCATTATAATGGTAGTTCTAATGCCATCATCAAGCATTCCAATAACAAAAATAAGACCTTTTACAACACGTTTTAATATTTTATTTTGGTTTTACCTAAAAACATGAAACTGAAATATATGAAAGTTTCTATCTATTTAACAAAAATGTTGATAATTACTGAAAGTATTCAGCAATTTTCACAATAAAGGACTCATGCACAGTTGTAAGCTGAACTGAAATTAATTGGCGGGAGGGGTGCATGCCATTCTGCTAGGGAGAAGGGAGCACAACAGAAAGGACTTCAAACAGTCTATGGAAAAAATCCATCATCTTTTAATGCTGAGTTTCCACGAACTTCTGAAGCCCCCTCATATAACTCCTGTTGTGTCTCATTTTCAAAACAAACCCAAAAAGGGTCATTTTTGCCCAAGTCTTAGAAATCATCAGTGCTTCAAAGAGTCCATCTCAGTCCCCTGGGCTGCCCACAGTCCTGGAGAAGGTCCCTCATCCCATCACTCTGGAAGGGCTTCTCCATCGGTCAGTGCCTTTGCTTGTGGTTCTGGCAGTTCCCCGTCAATTGAGCTGGTAAGAGAGTCTAACCCTATAATGCCTAGTGAGACATTTTCATAACATTTAATTAAAATGTATATATTAATATATATTGATAACTATGAAAGTAAAGAATAAAAACAAAAATTTTTTTTCTTGAAAATAAAAATTCAGGCGTTATAGGGCTAAATCTTTTGCAAGATTTCTATTCTACTTTCCACAGCAATTGATTTGCACTGGAGATGCATTTGATCGTAATGCAGTACAATGTAGTATACCAGTTAAGGGGAAGGTTGACTGATCCATCAACAAGCTAGTGGTGAATAATGGGGGATGGTGTCTGAATAGGGACTCATTTTATAATTGGTTGATTCATTAGTGAATATTTTGGTTCTCTGCCATTTCTTGTTGCTTTACTCAACCTAGTACCTGCAGAACTGTCTTGGGTATTTTGGCAGAACTCTTAAAATTGTTAATCTCTACTGAGTATGCCAGAAATTATGAGTCATTTTAATGTACGCGTTAACTCATATATTCCACCATGTAAGATACTCTAATTATGCCCATATTATAAAAGAGTAAGCAGCCAGAGTGGTTAGGTAACTCCCTTAAGGTCACACAGCCAAAAAATGACAGAGCTAGTACATAAACATAAGCATACTTCTCCACTGCTATCAGTAACATTTACAATGAATGATCTGAGGACAGAATCCACGGTGTCTAGAACAGAGGTTTTCATACTTTAATAAAAATAATCACCACTTGGGTGACTTATTAAAAATGGAGGGTCAATAATACCCCTATTAGGATGGGGGCCCCATCATCACCCCAAGATCATCCTAATACAGGTCACCCCTGGCTTTTGACAAGCTTCCACTCTAACGACACCAACCATATGGGTTCTAACACAGCTGAAAAGCTCTTTTATTTGCCTTAAGGTTTCCATTATTATTGCCTTTTTTATATTATCTTTATAAATTCAATTTTTATTTTGCTTTTCGTGGCTGGAAAAATTACAGATAAGCTCAGATACATTTTAACATTTGATGCATTACAAATTATTAATGATAAGATGTATTTTTAAAAGCCTGATAGTTAAGTGAAGTTCATTCTAACTCACTAGAGACTCCCATTGCAAGGAGCCTATTGTCAAGTGCCATGGAGTATGTCCCCATGCACAGCAACCTTAGGCCCAGCAGGACGAAGCACTGCACAGGACCACGCCACCCTCACAATTGTCCCTAAGCCTGAGCCCACTGTTGCAGCCACTGTAAGGATGCATCTCCTTGACGGGCTTCCTCTTTTCCACTGCCCCTCCCCTTTCCAAGTATGATGTACTTCTTCGGGGACCGGTCTCTCCTGATAAAGTAGCCTAGGGACCACAATTCAAGACAGCTAGGCTCTAACACGTCCGGTCCTCTGACTTTCTAGACAAACAGAGCAAAACTCAAGAGTTCCCAGTTTTCAGTTTAAACCCAAATAGTTTAAAACTTAGAACGCCCTGTTCTCCTTTAGTTCCGCATACCAGCTTTGACTTCAAATGGTAACTCCAGTTCTTTCAAGGCATCCTTCTTTAAGGGCAAGTTTTCCAGTTCAACAGCACCTAAAAAAACAAAAGTAACATCATGAATGTTCCTCCAACGAGTGCATTAGGTGCCCCCCACCCCCTACCATGTACAAAGCATTCACGGCTAAAGGCGAGTTTTACATCTAGAACTGGGCAATGAACAGTCATAGGGCCACATGCATTAGACAAACTCCCTGACCTTTCCAGTCGAACATGTAATTGGCAGTGTGGTAGTCACCTAATCTGGTGTCAATTTAAGGATTAAGAGAGTGGGGGTGCAGTCTAGGTTATCAATGTGGAGATAGCCAGTGAGATTTCTGTGTGTGCATGGCCTTCTCCTGAGAATTCTGGGAAATCTGGTACTTCCTCCTTGGAGGTGAGACACGCTATCTCTCTCAGTTCACTCCCTGGGAGACTCTCTACTGACAAAGGCTGACTTCCTGTGATGCATCCCTGAGGAGATGCCACATGGACCTACCCTGATGAACTGGAATGGCCACGTGGAGACCCCTGCCAGCACTGAGATGCTTCCACCACCACGGACTTTGCAGCCACTGGCCTGTGATGGCCCTGCATTTGGCATCATTGCGTGTGTTTTGTGAGTCTGAAGAGGACTTTATGAATTGGTGTCGGACATATGGGCTAATATCGAACTTGTGACTTTGGCCTAAATTGGGTTGGGAGTTTTCTCAATGTTCAATTGCTCTTGTATATAAATCTCTTTCGTATACACATGTGTGTATAAGATTTGTTTCTCTAGTCTACTCAGACCAACACAGGCAGCTAAAGCTTACTAGAGAATAAAGGGTTTGGGACTGGGTCTAGTGTTTTTTGCTTTTTTTTTCATAAAGGACCAAAGAGTTTGTGTTTTAAGTTTTAGAGTCTCTGTTACTTTTTTCTTTTTTCCAACAACTTTTTAGAAGTGTAAAATCCACTCTTCAACTTCAGTCCCCTAGTTTAAGCTAGGAGTCCCTGGCTGGTGCAAATGGTAAATCTGCTCAATTGCTAACCAAAAAGGTTCTGGAAGTGTAAGTTGGCCTGTGACTGACTTCCAAAAACTCAGCTACTAATCACCAAGGGTTAGAACCCACTCAAGGACATCTAGGGGAAACATTTACCAAAGGATCATTAACATCTAAATTATCTAAGAGGAAGGCTCCTAGGTCCCAGCCCCCATTTAGTGAATTAGAATCCCTGGGTCTGCTTTTTTTTTTTAAGTTCCTTCCCACCTCACCCATATCTTCTCCCACCCCCCACAATGAGTATAATACACTCAAAGTTTGAGAGCCCATGGTTTAGATTGGTTGAGGTTGTTAATGGTCATCAAAAGAAGTATGCTCTCTTCTGGAGAGCACTTCGTATGTCTTCCTCTGCACCTCCAATTGCAGGTGTAACAATAACCAGCCAGAAAGCAAAGGAATGAACAGGACCCAGAATTTAAGATTTTAAAATTAATTTAAGCCCGAAAGGACTTTCCCTGGAAACAATTCTGAAGGAGTAAGAGCAAAGGGTGCAGCCAATCCTCACTCCTGACTACAGATGTCATTCATTCACTCATTCATTGATTCACTGACACATGGGACTGAGCCCCTACTTTGTACTAAGCAGCATGCTGACCACTGGGAGGGTAGAAAGATAAAAGGCACAGCCCCCGCATTCACATATCAATGGGGAAGACAGTCTACATGTAACAACTGTTCATTTGCATACCACTAGACAATTTCTCAACCACTTATATCAGTCTGGGATGCATCATCTCAAGAACAGGGAGTGCTGACACCAATACTCAGCAACCATTAACTGGTAAGAGGACTCAGAAGAAAGATAGCCTTTCCACTCCTACAAGCACAGTGGCAGCATCTGACCTCGAGCTTCACAAGAGGGGGAGAGAGAGCAGTCCAAGGCTGATTCCCAGGAGGTGGAGGTCAACTCTCCTACCTTTTTACCAATTCTGACACCAGCCATCCCTCCCATGACTTCCTCTTCATCCCTGCTGGATTCACCACCAAGACTACACAGAACTCACAGACCATAATCACGGGGTTTGCTAGGGGAAATAACAACTCACGATTCAGGTTCACAAACAAGTCAGGGTACAGTTCTTTGATCGAGATAGCATCTTCTCAGCCATGCTAGCAGGCTGCTCTCTCTAGCCCTTAGGCACTCTGCCCAGCTCAGGCAAGTCTTACAAAGCAAATAATGGCTGAAGCACCTCACTCCTCCAGCAAGCCCCCTGCTGGAACTTACTCAGCTCTCTTGCTCCATGGGCCAGAAAGCCCACCAAGTCATGTCCTGGAGGTCTCCTGGTTCTGCTGCCACCATTCCTCTGCAGCTGCTTCTCATCGTTTCCCACTGACTCTATGTTACAGCTCCTTTGATAGCTCACTCACTTCCCCCCTCCCTCTCCCTTTGGTCTAGGAGATTCTCAGTGCAGGTACCCTGTGATCAAAGGACATGCCTCCTGGCTCTTCTTTTTTGGTGGTTGTGAGAGCCCCCTTTCTGCCTTCTGCATGACTCATGTTAAGTCTAGTGGGATGACAAAACCGACCAATCTTTTATTTTAGGGTTCTATACACCATTTTACCTGGTCCAAGAGGAAGATTCTCAAGGGAATGGATTGACACAGTGGTTGCAACTGTGGGCTGAAACATAACAATTGTAAGGATGGCAGAGGACCAGGAAGTGTTTTGTTCTGCTGATTCAAATGCATCTAACAAAAACTACAACCACCTCCCCCCTGCCCCCATACACACAAGCATACCTTGTACCTTATTTACATTGCTAACAAGCCATCCAATCCCTTTAGGCCACAATCATCCTAATTTGCATAATCCCACCCAGTCCCCCATGGACTTCCAGAAAAACAAATAAATCCGTTTGGAATAAGTACAACCAGAATGATCCTTGGAAGAAAAGGACGGTGAGACTGTTCCACATTCTTTGGACATGTCATCAGGAGAGATCAGTCCTTGGAGAGGGACACCATACTTAGCAGAGGGTGAGCCAAAAAAACCTGGCGAACCCTCACCAAGATGAACTGACACAGTAGTTACAGCAATGCACTCAAACATAACAATTGCAAGGATGGCACAGGGCCAGGCAAGATTGCGTTCTGATGTACACAGGGTTGCTTTGAGCGGGAATCAATTCAACGGCACCTAACAACAGACAATCCATAGAAGGGCCATAAAAAGTCGTCCACTGCACCTCCGCTTCAGATTTAATAGTACAAGAAGCTTACTTAGTGTTCCCTTAAGAGATTATTCAGGCCATGTAGATTACTGATTTCCACAGAAGCACTCAAATCTAGCAGTTCGGCAGATTCTAAGCAAAGGGAGTCAACTTAGTTATCAGATTTCTGTGGGAACATTTGTCCACGAGGAACCTCACATACCTTAAGACTAAGCAAAAGGGAAATGTGAGTAACCCCCGAGTGCCCAGAAACACTGGGCTTCCAGACCTGAGGAGAAAATGAGCAGAAGCACTGTGCGGGGAGCCATGAAGCATGTGCCTTCTCAGCTGAAGTGGACTTCAAGGGGAGCAGGAGCAGATGAAAGCCTACTTCCTCTTTCAAAGAACGTCACCTGCCCTCGGACCAGTCCCAATTTCCACAGAGTCCGCAGGCACTAGGTTTCCTTGGCTGCTATCGATCCTTGGAGAAATGGAAGGAATTGTAGGCAGTTCGAACCATGAAAAATTAAAGAAGCTGGAGAGCAGAGAGCAAAGGAGAAGGGGCAGGAAGGAGAGGCACGAGATGAGAGGAGAAGGAACCTGTCGCAGGAAAGTTAAGAGCCTAGGAGGCAGTCACAGTTGAAGAAGGAAGGCTTTCTACACCCCACCCACTCAAATGTGCACCACAACTCTCCCTGCTGGGAAAGGTCACTCCAGGGGCCGGGCAGGAGGTGACTAGTTTAAATAATGTGATTGTTTGCTGTTGTTAGTGGCTGTAAGTCCCAGACTCATGGAAACCCCAGGCATAGTTGTAATCCATGGGGTTTTCACTGACTGATTTTCAGAAGTAGATTGCCAGGCCTTTATTCCTAGTCTCTCTTAGTCTAGATGCTCTGCTGAAAGCTGTTTGGCATAACAACAACATGCAAGGCTCCATGGACAGATGGGTGGTGGATGTACGTGAAGTGCACTGACTGGGAATTGAACCCAGGTCACCCC